TATACGGTTGCAGGGAACCCAGGTCAATGGAAGGGACATCACCATTTAGTCCAAACTCAATGACCTCCGTTTTGCCCTCATTTATATGTAGCTATAAAGAAAAGAAAATGGGCCCCAAAATAGAACCTTGGGGAACACCACAGGATAGGGGGGCAGAAGAAGATGCAAATTCACCAAGCCTAAACAGAGAAGGATCTCTGGGACAGATAGGACCTGAGCCACTCTAAGGCAGTGCCCCTGATACCCACACAGTGCTCTAGACCAGAGATAAGGATGGAGTAGTCAATCATATCAAAGGCAGCTGTGAGGTCTTAGAGCATAAGGATGGCAGAGTCACCAGAGTCTGTCGTGACCAGGAGGTCATTGAATACTCTTAGAAGGGCAGAGTCAGTACTGTGAAGCACTTTAAAACCGGACTGAAACATATAAAAAATATTGTGTGCATGTATAAAAGACTGCAGCTGTAAGAGTACGGTTTTCTCCAATATTTTTGAAATAAAAGGAAGCTTCGAGATGGGTCTGTAATTAGAGAAGACAGAAGTGTCCAAATATTTTTATTTTTTTTTAAATCAGGGGTGCCACAACCGCTTGTTTGAAATAAACTGGCACGGAACCGGACTCTAGGCTGCTATTTATAATTGTATGGACATTAGATCCAATAGTGTCCCATATCTCTTTAAAAAGTCGAGGAAGGACTGGGTCTGTGGGACAGGATGAGGGTTTTAATTTAGCAACAATGTCACTGATACCTCATTCACACCAACGGTGTTTCAGGGCCCGTTCGGAGCTGGAGCTTGAAAAGCACCGGGTTTTCCTGTTCACACTGCAGCGGAGCAGCCTCTTAGCTCCGGAATCCGGTTCGTTTCAAGCACCAAAAAATGTTCCGGCTCGAGCAAAAGCACCACATACTTCACGCTTACGTCGAGGCGGGGGCAGGAGCAGATCAACTCCTGAACAACAAAAAGGCTGCGTTTTATCCAGTTTGTACACAACGATGGAGAAACGTAACAAGCAGCAGTGGTCCACTGAAGAGACCAGCTACCTACTGGGAATCTGGTCTTCTGAAGAGGTACAGAGGAAGCTGGAGCACAATCGGCCATTGTTGTTGTTGTCGGTGTGAGTCGGTTCTGAACCTGAAAAGCTCTAGCACGGAGCTTGAACCGGAGTTGCGTTGGTGTGAATGAGGTATGAGAGATGACAACGACACAGGTCCAAACTGCTGGAAGACAGCAGTGCATGTGATGTCAATGGAGGGGTCATAAGAGGGTGGTGAGATACAGGCTCTAATAGCGGAAATCTTGTCTATAAAATAGCAGAGACATTTTTCAAACACCTCAGTTGAAGCTTCAATTCAAGTGGATAAAGGAGAGTTTAACATAGCATCAATTGGTTTAAAAAGAACACTAGGTTTGTTTGAATTACTAGAAATAATATCAGAAAAGTAACTAATCTTTTCAGCCTTTACAATGCTCTGAATGCTTCTCCAACTCTCGTTTAAAATGTCATGAGTTATTATCCAAAGTTAATGTAAACTTGAATAATGTACTACATTTGAATGTAATAATTATGTTGGTTGTGGAAGCGCATCATGTATTGAAAAATTCATCTGAACTTTTCCATCCGTTTCGATTATAAACTGAAGCAATATAAAAACGAGCCCCATGAACTGAGTTTTAAACATCACTTTAAATGGAAGATCCCCATAACCCCCACCCACCCTATGATCGGTATCGGCCGATACTGATTCCGGTGATCGGCCCCAAAAGCCCCGATCGGAGCATCCCTAGATATTACTATTAAAAAGAAGATGGCAAACAGATTTTCTTTTTTACACTTACATGAATTAGTGAGCAACAGACTTTGACATTAAGAGTTCTGTTTGTGTCCAAATTATGATATCTTCTTTTAGCTTGTGTCTCTCTGAGTGTTCCACAGCCAGTCTAACTGTGTCTGTCTGGATCCCATCAAGTGCAGTGTCAAGTGTGTTGTTTCTAGAAGCGGTTCTCATAAAAGCTATAAGCAATACTGGAGCCAAGTATAAGGCCGAACAGCACTGTGATTACAAATTGAAATACATTCTAAAAACAATAGTTAGTCTTGCTAGCGCTGACCTGTTTGGAGATGAAGGTGGGGTCCCGGTCCTCTCTGGTGACACAGAGGTTGCAGTCGTTCAGGAAGTGGAGCGCTTCCTCCAGCTCCTCCTGCAGACACTGAGAGAGACCACTCTTATCCAGGTAGGGGCCGCAGTCCAGCACCACTTCTCTGGGCTGAGAGGAATATCTGAATACAACACAGAGTAGGTTACTGGCAGGCCAATCTGGGTTATTCATTGGGAGATTTGACAACACTATGTTTCACCTTTCTGTTTGAATGAAGTGTTACCAAGGACATTTCTTGTCGCTATATATAGTGGTGACTGACACACATTAACCATACATATACTGTAGCTGTTCACTCCTGTTTTTTTTTCAATGGTTTAGAGAAAAATGAAAACAAGCTTAAAAGTATAAATCTTCCTTTGCAGATAATTACATTTTATATTCATTGCTTACTATTCTTTATTTTTGGGGTATTTAACATGTCTGTAAGTGCAGAATGTTTACTTAATTGAAATGGCTAAAATAAGTGAATGTGTGTTTGACTGCATGTTTGTGGACCCCAGAATGAATAGCTAATACTCATGCTAGTGCTAACGGGGATCCTAATAAAGTCATAAAGACATAGATCAGAAGTAAGGGCTTTGTACCTGTCCAGAACCACAAGGTCAGTGGCGGTCTCAGCATTGCTCTTCAGGACCCTCTCCAGACTCAGGATCTTCTGCTCCAGCTCTGACGGGTCACACTTCCCGTTCAGAATGGAGGCTGTGAGACCCAGGATACGAGGGCAGCATGAGGAGCCCTCAAACAGCTGCACAGAAACAGAACAGAGTCAAGTCATTCTCACTTGTCTTGGACCACTTTGCGGCAAAATACAAAAAAACTCAAAAACAATCTCACCTTCATTATCTCACAGTAAGGGTGCTCTGTGATGGCCAGGTGACAATCATCAAAAACCACCAAGTTGATTTTAGACAACGGCAAGATTTTATTCTTTAGAACGTAAAGGAATATGTGGCAGGTCATGACCAGCACCTGTAGAAGAGAGTATTGAGAAAGAGAGGAGACCATATTATTCTCAGCAATGACTATGGAATGGTTGGTAATGAAGGTGCAAATAGAGTGGTGCGGGAATGAGTCCATAACTCAGAAATGAGTTAGCATTTTAGCACTGTTTTTTGTTAAATATCTGAAACTAGGTCTGTGGTTAGAAACAAGCTTAAGAGATGTTCATGTTTTGTTCTGTAACTAAAAATATGTCAGTAAATACACACCACTGGATAATGTCTGAAGTCTTTATGAGTCTTAAAAACTGCGCTCTTTAACAAGTGTCTAAATTAAACTACCAAGTGTCATGACATGCATCATAAGCCACCTTTATCTTAGAACTTTCTTAGCCATGCGTTAGCATTTTAGCATTAACCCTTTTTACTTATTGTATTAACGCTTTAAAAGAAATCAGAAATGGGTGTTAAAATGTGGAGATTATCCTGCTGAACAAAACGTGTAGGTATCATAAACCTTTGTTTGCCACAGAGCTTCATTTCTGCAATACTCCGAAATCATATGGGAAAATAATATTGCTTTTTGTTCAGGGAGCCCTTGGGATGCTAACTTCAGAGTCAGCCTACAAAAATACATCATCACTGCAGCACTCTCTAAATAGCCCAATTCTGGTCAAAAGTTAGAGTTATTCATCCGAGTTAAACCCACAATGTCATTTGATGCATTGTACTTTAACAAGTCTTTGTCAAACAACAACACAGTCTCACATGTACAACTACATAATGGTCAATTCTTACACCTGACAAAAGTCTGCAAAACGGTCCCAACATCCATAAGCATGGAACTAGCATGAAGCTAGTGTTAATTTACTGAGACAAATAAGGCAAAGAGAAGCAGCACACCTGATTCTGGATTAACTCTTGACTCCATCGCTGGTCAGTCCATGCTGAGCTCTCCTCCACGTCTGTGTACTCTCCCACCGCGAGGTCAGAGTGAGTCCTGACTGCAGCTGCCTGCTGAACTACAGTCAGAGCTGTAGGCCAGAGAGAAACATGTCAAATCAAATATATGCATCAGAATTTATATGGAAAATAACTTTGGTCAAATGTTGGAATGACCAGTGCCGTTTACAAAAAGGTATTTGAGAAAAAGAGACGCACTAAGGCAAACAAACATCTGTTGCACGTCAGCAGGTACCTGTGTTCACCAGAAAAACAGTCCTCTTCGCATTTTCTTGGTAATGTCCACGGATTTGGTGGGAGAGCTCTTTTGTTAGAAGTACTGCAATAAAGGTCTTCCCTGAGCCAGTATTCAAGCAGACGATAGTATTATGTTCAATAGCTGCTTCAAGAAGTTCTACCTGTGGAGGAAAGGTCAAGGTTTACTGACAGGTACATAATAAACACATTAATTCTAACCAATGAAAACAAATCAACAGGAATCGGTCCTAAAGCTCGAAAATGAGTTGGCATTAACTAGCACCTTTCTATATAGCTATTATCAAACATAAGCTGATGCTTCTACTTCAAAAATGGATCAGTACTGTAGTCTTTTTGCTCCCTTATACCGTCACAGACGCAACACTCTATCGCCTCTTGCCTTTTTTGTTGACTGATCCTCAACAGACGTATACAACACATAGCAGCTGGCACACACAAGCCTCCTTACCTGATATTTCCTCGGTGTATAGATGTTATCATGGATAGCCTCCTGCTGCCACGGCAGACCAAAGAAAGGCCCCATGGGTGAAGTGGCAGGGGTGACCAGCTGTAGGCCTGCCATGCTTCAAAGGGAGGTGGAGGTGGGGGGGGGGGGGGGCAGTGCTCCTCCAGTCGTACACTTTATCTCATTTCATAATCCTTTACAGAAGTTCACTGTGGGGGGAGATGATGGAACTGTGTAGGAGACTTTCTGCCACACATAACTGATTAGAGACAATGAGTTCTAGTGTGTATGCAAACCACTTAGAGCAGGCAACGGCTTTTAACTCACTTTTTCAGGGCTTGAAAGCGTTATTTAGAAGGCAAGAACAGCTCATTAAGAGCTCTAAAGCAGCTTACAATGTGACAGCAGCAATGGAAGAGCTTCTTTCTACATTAGAGTAGAGCTTGAGGACAGCTTCATTAGAACTTGTTTGGGGAAAAGGGCAGCTTGTTTACAGATCAAGTGCTTTTGGATGTTCCTTAGAGAAGGTCAACAGGTGGTTTGGAGATGGTTTAGAACATGACAATGACTTGTGAAGGGCTTGAGTAAAGCTTGTTTAGAAAATGGTTTGTTTGGAGTTTGATAAAACCCCTGTTCAGAACTTGATAACAGCCTCTTTGGAGCTCTTGTTTTCCCAAATTAAGTTTGAAATGTAGCAATGTGGTTTGCTTGGTCTGGAAATGTGATACAAGGTGTGTGGTGGAAAAGATTGGATTTTGTTCCTTCAGTACCACGGATCAGGGCTCAAAACTCACCGAGTTTACCAATGGCTGACATTTTAAAACCAACATAACGCAATAAATGCACTATTGACGAATCCAGGGGACACGCCATATGGTTTCTCTGCCACATTGTGAAGAGCAAATCAGTGTAGAAATTGGCGGAAGAGAAGTGAGTTGAAGATAGCTGTTAGCGACAGGTGTGCTGGATAACTTGAATGGAGGTTCCATAGAGTTACACTGTGACACATTCAACTCTATTCACTGAAATGAGTATTGGGAGATAGAACCTTTTTAAGTTATCATAATGTATTTATTATAAAATGATGTTTTGGCTCTTGTCTGCAACATGATATAGCTTAGATATTGGGAAGAAGATTTCTTTGAGCGTTTCATGTGGTTTAGAAAATTGCTAGCCCTTTTAAGAGTTTGAAAACAGCGTGAGTCCTAAAGGGGGAACATTATTTGGTCAATAAGAGAAGGAATTTCTTAGGAAATATACTTACAGGTAATAAGGGTGACTTTTTGAATAAGCATACAACACTTAATCTGGGCTTCATGATAAAACGGCTCTCAATCAAGTGCTGATGATGCCCCACATTTAGTAGGTAACAGACCTGAAAACCAAACAGAGAACATTGTTATACAGTTTGCAATACAGATATGACAGACATATAGAAGTCTATATTACAGTGTAGTTAATGGCTAGGTATGTAGAGGAAGGATACAAGTTAGCTTCCACAGAGGCTGCATCTGCTGATGCTAATGTAATACTGTTAGACTAATATAATAATTACACTCAAAAGTAAAACAGCTCACCTCTACACAAATGAGAAGTGTCAAGGACTGTGAATGGGTCCTCAGCTTTGCAAAGATAAAAGCAATGATAAATGGACTGCATTATTATAGTGTTTTTCAGTCTTTACGACCACTCAAAGCTCTTTTACATATACAAGTCAGAATTCACACACATTCATACAGAGGCAGAGGCTGCCGTGCAAGGTGCTACCGCTCAAGGAGACTAACATTCACTGAAACACTGTTGGCCATCGCGAGCAATTTAAGGGTTGAGTATCTTCTCCATGGATACAACGACATGTTGACTACAGGGGAATTCAACCACACTGATTGGAGGACGACTGCGTTACCTCCTGAGCCACAGCTGCCCACTAAACGCAGAGAGCAACAATTGTACTGGGTACAGCTGGGTGCAATGAGCAGAGGAAGGATGGATCATTATAACAGTGTTTCTCAAGTATATTTGGCAACACATTTCAGCATTTTATTTGACATAGGTCCTCGATAGATGAACTAGTGGCAGCATGAGGTCTTGTCTGGGCAGCTTTAGGTCTCACTGCCTCAGCTGTCCGGGGCCAGGCGTGCTGCCCTCCTCTTGTCTGGGTTAGGGCAAAGGACTTATACTATAAAGACAGACGTGTGTGCGTTACAACTATTTCACCAATCCTTGGACTGTTCTTGGTGTATGTATTGCTGAGCCCCTTCAGAGGAGGTTATGTGGATCAGTGAGTCTGAAAAAACGGAGAAAACACTCTCTGTCCGGCTGGGCTGCTGTAAGCATCATATCTAATCTGTAAAAGTGTAAACGGAGGGGCAAAAGATCCACACGACAGCACGGTGAAAACTGCCTCTATGGGAAGTCTCGCTTTTCTTTCACAAAATAGCAAGCCCGTGAACGTTTTTGTTTGTGTATTAAACCAGTTGACTGTATTTGGAAAACCAGTATTTTTTTCATTTGCCATGTGCCTGTAGAATGTTATTTACATACCACAAGTCAAAGTGAAAATCCCAAGTATATGTCATTTAGCTAAAACATTTACAACTTACATACACCTTAAAACAGAGTATGAATATACGAAAGGATCAAAGGGATCAAACCACTGACCCTTTGATTGACAGACAGTCCTTTACACCCTGAGCCCCAGCTGCTGACGGCAACAGGTTTGATCTGCCAGAAAACACTCGTGACATACGACATTTAAGAGGCCTTTATCTATTTTGAAACTTCAAGTATCAATTACATTAGTGACATAACATAATCATCAATGTCACATGTCACAAAGTATCAGTATAGGCCAGTTTGAAATGGTATATAAAAACAGAACATTAATTATGTGCAAAATAAGGGCCAAAAGATTATAACAATCAGAAATGACCAACCAGGATCAGCACATGCCATTCGAACAACAGTCCAAAACATGTTGCCACTTTTTGATCTTTGCTTCACTCCAAAACATCTTCTCCTGACATGAAGACATGAATACTTCTGGTCCTTAAAAGTCTATCCCTTGTATTCATAGAACACAGTAACATTGATCCTAATGTCAGTTGTAAATGACTGAATCATTAACACCTGTGATATTGACACACGTGCCACTGTCCCACAGTCTTGCTGCCAGAAAAAGAGATACATATGCTAGGGGTATTTCAAGCAAGACAAACATGCAGAACACAATGTCCAAAACCTTTTTTACTGCATCATATCCAGTCATTAACTAAATAAACAAGGGCTTGTTTGACATTAATATATTTGATTCTCTAAAACTGTGTTAATTCTGCATTAGCAGTTTCCTCGCTCAGTAACCATTACATTCAATGGTGGAAAGTCACTTTGGTGGAAAGTACATTCACTCAAGTATTGCAGTTAATCCGAATCAAGTGTATTTCCAGGTACGTTTCACACATATGAGGATGTATAGAAATGTGCAAAAGGTATTCAGGGAGGTGAACATGAAACTGGCTCAAGTATTAAAAGAACAACAACATGTGTACATGATGTGCATTCCTGAAATGCATAATGTCTGTGGGGTGGGCTGGTGTCAGGGGGGGTCCTGTGTTGTGTTCATAGAATCAGTGTTGGAATAAATACTTAAGTAAAAGTACAAATACTATTGTCTTACAATACTCTGCTGCAAGTAAAAGTTCTGATTTCAAATGTTAAAAGTACAAAAGTATTAGCACTCAAATGTACTGTAAATAAAAGTACTCATAATGCAAAATGGTCCATTTCAAAATAGTATAAAGTATAGAAGTATCAGCTAATCCTACATCTCTAAGCACTGTAAGTATCAAAAGTAAAACTCCCAGTTATGCAGTAATATATTATTACAGTTATTATATTATCCTGTTTTTATACATGTCAGAGCATTAGAGTATTGTAGTTTGTATTGTCAAATGTATATTCATGAAATACTGTGTAGATCAGTGTTTTAATATGATATGTACAAAGTAAGTTATATGTATAAAGAGTTTTAAAATACATTTAGTAGAGCACAAAAATACAATATTAGCCTCTGAAATGTACTGAAGAAGAAGTATAAAGTAGCATTACATTGAAATACTCAAGTATGTCAAAAAAGCACTCAAAGTAGACACCACGCTGAGTAACATTGGCTAGCTAGCAACTAAGCAGCTCCATTTCTCATGAGTAGCTGATGTAATACACATGGCCGTAACCTTAAAACGATGTTATTAACTATTTAGAGATGCCTGCTTGAGATAACCTGAACTCCAAAGAGCAACACGAACCCTGGCCTCACTATGGTGTCAAAGTATTAACTGAAGACGCTAGCTCCCATTAACTAACAGCTGGTCGCTAACGTTAGCATAAATAATTAGCTTATTTACGTTGCGTTATCTTAACTGATACAGTGATGTATTGGTACAAATGAAGTAGCCAAAAAATGTGCTATTAGCCTCTTACATGGCAACAGGGCTAAGACTCATAACTGCGATGGGAACAACGCTAAACAAGTTAGCCTGGCATGGCTAGCGAGCGTTACATTAACGGTTAGTCCCTGTATTGAAGCAGCTAGTTTTTAGCCTGGCTATTTAATGGTTATTAACTTTCTGTCCGAGTGTGCCTGCCTGCTCCCGTGAGCTTAACTGAAAACGGCTTTACCCGAAATGTACAGCGTGTAAGGCTAAACAACGTCTGGACAGCGGCTACAGCCACCATGCACCATCACCATGTCAGACAGCCGCCTGCTAACTAGCTAATGGCTAATAAGGCCAACACATGCACAATAGCAATGTTATCCCAGGAAGACCAATAATATAATGTGCAACATAATCTCACCTGGTGTATTTTTTCTCAATTTTAGTCTTGGATAAAAATACTTCAAATCATTCGTTGGATTTCCTCACTGTCATTCACTCTTGCTGTCCCGATTTGGTGGCTTCTCGTTCACGCTGGGATCACTTCCTTCCACCCGGGCCTCTGCTACGTCTAAACATTAACGTAAATTCCGTAACTGCCAGTACAATTCTGGGACGCAATTCTACTAAAGTGAACGAGAATCCCTGCACTTTATGATGTACTGAAGGTACACAGCCACTGGCCTTATTTCAGGGGAAATGTATTACATTCCTTAATTAAATTATATAATATTATAATATATTATATTATATTGTAAAGATATTATTATTCTGCTGCAGTGTAGCATGTATATGCTTCAACCTGCCATAATCTGAGAAGCAGTAATTGTCCACACACACACACACACACACACACACACACACACAAGGGGATGTTCAAATGATCTACTTTAATAATAAGATAACGTTCTTAGGTAAACACAACCATCCATTGCTAAAACCATGAGCTTTGTTCCAGTACTAAATGTATGTCTTGCAGCAGAAGCTTTACACAGGGTAGTACACATTATTTGCACAGACACACTTGTTCCTCATCCTTCTCACTGCAATCAATCAGCAGCATCTCTTCCACACAGCTGCAAAAAAACAACAACATTGGTTTTGGATGATAACATGAACACAAAAATACATGGCAGAGAGAACTTGTGACTAAATTAGCTTTCTGTCTTTTGGCCAAATTGATGTTCTGGACACTGGACAGCTCTTTCAGCAGGAAGAGTACACAACGTAGATATGGCCTGTAAAAAGTAAAGCAAACTAATAGAAGACAGGAGAAGTACTCAGATATCATACTAAAGTAACATTAGAAGTACCAGAGTGTAGGAAGTCCTGCATTCAAAATGTTACTCAAGAGTACAAAAGTATTATCATCAAAATCTAGTTAAAGTAGCGACAGTAAAAGTAGTCATTGTGCAGATTGGTCCATTTCAGAATAATATATATGATATGTTTTATAATGATTGATCATTAAAGTGTTCTCAAAGCTGGTAAAGGTGCAGCTAGTTTGAATGACTTTGAATACTGCAGGGTAGCTTGTGAATTTACTCCAGGTGGAACTAAAGTCTGATTTAACACTTGATTATATTTCACATAATTCATCCACATCTGTGAAGCAACTAAAGGGATTAAATACATGTAGTAGCAAAACAAAAATTGAAATACTCAAGTACCTCAACATTTGACTTAAGAACAGTAGCAGCCTGAATAAATGTACTTATTTACTTCACACCACTGTGCTTAACATTATGATTATCAACAAAGTTACTTTAAACATAGCTTACATTGGCAAATAAACATATTTATATTTTTATATTTTTTCAATCCTAAATGGCTCATTAGCAGCAGGAGCAGCTTTTCTGCAAGCTGCAGGCTATGAGGGTAAACTCGTCCACCATCTCCTGGATTACCAACTACCTCACGGACAGACCTCAGTACGTCCGGCTGGGCAGTGTGCTGTCTGATGTGGTGGTAGGTAGTACAGGAGCCCCACAGGGGACTGTGCTGTCTCCCTTCCTGTTCACCTTATACACCTCTGACTTTCAATACAACTCAGAGTCATGCTATCAGACGTTTCTGATGACTCTGCAGTGGTTGGGCGTATAAGGGAGCTCCTTCTCCAACAGACTGCTGACAAGGACCGATACAGGAACACATTCCTGCCCACTGCAATAACTCTCTTTAACAAATCACCTCTATCTGGAAGAGAACTCTCTGATCCTTCTCTCTCCACTGTACATTTTACATTTTTATATTCAGGCTAATATTTAATATTCCGTCTGTCACATCCTTATGTAAATATAATACCTTGCTTATATCTTGTTATTGTTAATTTGTGAATTCAACATGTATATTTTCTACTTTCTTGTTTATTTCTTGTCTTTTAATTTTTTATTGTACAATGCCATGTCTTTTTATGCTGCTGCGACACAACAATTACCCAAATTGGGATCAATAAAGTTCTATCTTATNAATAAAAAGTATAAATATGCCTTATATAGGTATGGTCCTACACTATATTATTCAAATATAGCATGATAGGTCCACTTTAAGTACAGTTCTCATCTCTGTTCGCCTCGCTGTTGGCGCCGCTCACCAACGTCTGGGAGCCGAGACTATATAAAAAAAATAACGGAGTAACTCACCATGTAGTAACGGTAACTGAGTTTCCGAATTAAAAAATGCGTTAAGAGTACTAGTTACTGCCAAAAATAACGGCGTTACAGTAACGCGTTACTCTGTAACGTTAGTCCCAACACTGCATGCAGCAAACCTATATAACCCACTACAGGAAAGGGAAATAGCAGAAAAGGGCCTCTTTTATTTGTGCTACTACTACAGTCAACCTTTTTCGTGTCCACAAATTTGCGTCCAGGAGGATCCAAAATAATCTGTATTGACTGCTTTGAAGAAGCTGTTCTGAATCTCACCTGGTGACCTTTCCACTTTCATTTCAAAGTAGGTCTTGCCCCCCACCATGTCCGGCTCCGGCCCCCCCACACTAACGGAGGATCTGGACGGCAGGATGTTGACGTAGGTAGCCAGGGACGTGCTGCTGTCTCCGGACAGCACCGACAGCAGGGGCACTGACTCCAGGTCAGCGTCTGCTGCACACTGCTCCACAGACTGGGACGGGAGTAAGTGGTAGTACTGGCCTCTGGCTGGGAGGGGGGCATCCATGTCCTTCAGCCGGGACACACACCACCTCTTCAGCTCGTGACTCACCGCGGCCTGCAGGAGAACATATTCTACATTCTGAGAATTCTGACTTTTATTCTGTGAAATCTGGCATCTCTCTTATAATAAAGATAACTCTCAGTCCTCAGGTGACTCTTTTTACAGTTATTTGATACATAGTTGTGTCAAACAACATTGACCTTTTATTTATAATCAGTATGAGGTTATGTAGAGTATGTCTTCACCTTCATTTGTTCAAAGCACATACATCTGTTTGGAATACAATTCTATATATTATGACAGTAAACATTATGTTTTTCCATGGTACAGTATTACATTTTACATGCAGTTTTATCTTACAATATTTGACATGAACATAGTATAGATATTGCTGCATTTTCCTTTCATTATTGTATCAATTGCATCCGTCATGAACCTGTGTCATGAGGGCCTCCTCCCGGCCCTGGGCAGCTCTCTGCTCGATCCTGAACCCCGTCCTCCTCCTCTCTGCTGCGGCTCTCTGCTCACTCAGGAGGTCCAGCACCTTCATCTGCACAGGAGTAGGAATAATTGCTTGAAAAATTGCTATATTTGAATTTAAAATAAACGTTTGTTAATGCACATGCAATCTGTATTTGAATAGTCAATATGGTCAAACAATGTAGATCTGAGTTTATTGTTCTTCAGTCATATTGCCCAATAAATGTATATATTCACACAGAAATGTAGGAATTGATATCACACTTTGACCATCCAAATGAACTAAAACATCAGTTTAAGAAATTGAAGGTCAAAGCAATGAATAATTAAACTCAGGTCCAGGAGAGGGGCCAAATCTCGACACCCCTCTGATCACCTGCTAAGCTACTGTACAACACATCTGGACTTGTTTCATACACTCATCCCTTTATTTCTCTCTCCCTACATCCCTTCATCAATCCATCTCTCCGTGCCTGCATCCTTTGTCCATTCATTCCTCCCTTCCACATCCCTTTGAACCTTGATCCCTGCCGAATGACATCCCTTCATCCATTATTCCTCCTTCCCTTCATATGCCTTTGACTCTTCAACCCTTCATCCCTCCCTTCCTATATTAATTCCACCACTTCATCACTACATTCCTTCCCCCTTTTCTTCCTGTCTTCCCCTATCTCTTTCTCTTTAATCTACATGTAGTGCTCATTCTAGGTACAGTTAGGAGACTTCAAGTAGAAACCCGCTTCAGTCTGTCCTCCAGACCGGCCTGACAGACAGCATCCCTAAACAAATATTGTTTTTGCTGGTCGTTGCTAGTGAAATAGAAGTCCTGATGTGTACTCAGAGGCTGACCTGGTGTCTGTTCCTGTGGTCCATCTTGCTGAGTCTCCGGTTGACCTGCTCCTGGACGTTGAGGATGTGCAGCCTCATCTCCTCCTGAGTTTCTGTCAGCTGGCCCTCCAGCTTCTCCAGCAGGGGCTTACAGTGGCATCCACTGGCCTGTGTCTGAAGACAGTGGGCACAATCAGAAGCATCACACTCAGTAGCAGTTATATCTCTCACAGGCTCCGCCCTCTACTGGACTCTATGGGTACTGCCTTTGACCTCACTATGCAAGCGTTCACCTACTGAGAAATCGGTGATGGCCATCGCGGTGGGACGTGTGGGGCTACTGCTCCCCCCGCCACTACCACAGCCGACCTTCGTTTCGCCCCCGCTGGCAGTGTGTGGAGGTGACGTGGCGGCAGCCACTGAGAACGAGGGCTCCAGTGGCAGGCATGTCAGGTTTCCTGAGGGTGCAGGGCCGCTCGGACACAGTAGGTCCCGGCGTGACCCCCCTTGATGAGTGCCTGGTGGCCCATCTGCTTCCGAAGGCAGCTGGATGTGTGGAGGGGAAAAAACCTCTGCCCCCGCTGCCTCGTGACCGGGAAATGCTGGAGTATTTGGATAAAATATTCCGGCTCTGTACGCAGATGGCAGCAGCGGCCAATAATCTTGGTGTGTTGGGCGTCTCCTTGATTTCCCCTCAGGAGGTCGCCTCGCCCCCGACGAGGGATATTATTCGGACCCCTGTATTGGTCAGATGAACAATCTGATCCACGGTTTAGCCGCTGCAGCTGGCCGTGTCATGTCCCTGGCCACGGTGGTGTCACGTCACGTGTGGCTGGGACTCACCGCGCTGTCCAGGAAGGACCGCAAGGATCTCCTTGGGGCCCCCGTATCCACGGAGGGGCTCTTTGGGTCGATCAAGTCGGTTACCCAGCGCTTCCGCTGCCTGGAGGAAGAGCGACTGCAGCTTAGCCGTATGCTACCACTGGCCCTTCCTTGAGCTGCTCTGCAGGGGAGAGAGTGCGGCACGACGGTGAGGAGAAGAGAAAGGCGACGGTATAGAGCCCCCTTGGCTCCCGTTGCCGCCTCCACCTCTGCGACCCGTCCCGCGGACCCGGCTCAGAACCGGCAATCGCGGGGACGAACTGGCCGGCCCCGGCAGGCTCCGGCTCCGGCTCCGGCCCCACCTCAGCAGAGAGCTTCGGGGTGGGGTGCGCCGTCCTCCCGGAGCTGACTGGCGGTGGGAGGAAGCGTCCCGGTGGGGAGGGCGGCCTCTTCCACCCAGGATGTAATGCAAGTATTGTGAGGCATACTTTCAATAAAAAAGATGATTGCATTCATCCCAGTCTAAATTTAATTTATTTGCACAATTCCACACTTCCACATGATGTTAACGGTACTGATTCCCCACTCGCTGCCCCAGTTGTAACTCCAGTAAAGGAAGCAGCTAGTGGGCATGCGCAGGCGAGGGTAATAAACTGCAGGTGACTAGAGATCAAGGCTCACAACACAGAAACTGCGACCTCATTGTCCCACCTCAGATCCAAAAGCCCCGAAACAAAACAAGCGCGCATCCACCAAACACACTCTAAAGCCCATCGCCTCCCCTTCGAGACCCAGGATGACCGGGCACACACCGACCGGTCCGGGCGAACAGGAAACAACAAGGACACGGAGGTCGCGGGAACACAGTAAAACGCCGCGGGTACACTCAGTGCAGACACATATGTTATTTACTAGTGCAATTTACGACGCAAAACTACACAAAATAAAAACACACCCAGAGGAGTTGCTAGAGATAGTGATCATCTCCCGCCGCATTGGTTCCCCGCGGCGCGCATACGGTATTACGCTAAGAGGGAGTTTGTTTTTCTTACGAAATGGGACTCAAAACATTGCGATTCCACGGCACCACGGAGTACTGTTAGTGTGCGGCCGTCGTATTACGCGGCGGACATGGCGTCTCGAGTGAGA